GAACCTTCACTGAGTCACTCAACTCAATCACACAGAGATTATGGAAATTAACGAAGAAAATTAAAGTCTAAGAAGTGAAGGTGGAGGTATGAAGAAGTAGATCATGGAATTGGATAATAAGGTGAATGATCAAGAACGATACAGCCATGGATGGTGCCTTCATCTGAACAGAGTTGCCGAATGCTCTACTGAGAACATCGAGGCAGGAGTGATAGACATATCTCCATCACTCTTGCCTTGATGTCAAAGCAGTGGTTCCTGAGGCAGACTGTAGCAGATGCTTTGGATAAGGTACATCGTCTGGGGCGGCTCAAGTCAGGAGAGGGAAATAACGCTAAACTGCGACCAGAAATAATGAGATTCATCTCGAGAGAGGGATCTGATGTGGAGGCATGTAGAGACAATATTTGAAAAGAAATGGTTTTAACTTCAAGGAGGATCTAACATCATCTGACAAGGAAGCACAGAGCCAGCTCTGGCCAGCCATGGAGAAGGAAAGGAAGTAAAGAAAGAAGGCATTTCAGCAGGGCAAGAGCCTTCGTTGATGGCAAAGAACTAAAGGTATAAAATTAAACTGCTTCCTGTAGGTAAGGTTTACAATCAGTGTGTCAGCTTACCTCATGACATGGTTACCTCCTGTGTTTTTGTGTTACTGGAAGAAGGGCTCTTTTAATTTAATTGCTATAAAATTTTATAGACTTTGTTTACATTGAAAATGGCAATAAGCAGCTGTTTTCATGTATTTTATGTGAGAATTGGATATTGGTATAGGTACTTGGTTCATGTTAATACTTACTTAGTGTTTTGTATCCTTTATGTTTGTCTCAGTGTTTTCAATTAATGTCATGGGTATTAGGGATTTATTTAAAGAAAGGTGTCCTTTCTTTACTGCCGTGAAAGAAATGCAGACATTTGTTTGGTTCAGGAAAGCTGTGCTTGTTCAGAAGATGCTTTATTTTGGAAAAAATTGGGAATTAATGCCTGGTTCTCATTCGGTACAAATCAATCAGCAGGGATAGCAATTTTAAAAGGAAAGTTTGGAGGTCAAATTTATTCATAATAGTTGCCACTAACAAAAACAAAACAACTACCTCATTTTTGAGACATTAACGGGCTCCTATCTAAATATCCGTCTAATAGTATTATTTTGGGAGGATGATTTTAATACTACTTTAAATTAGGAACTAGATCGATGGCCTCCGAAAGACAAGGTTGTAGAATGTCAGTTGAAAAACATTTGTTAAAGATTAGGTACCTTGGGAAAATGGAGGCAAAAAACCCCAAATTCATGCATGGAGCAATAAAGATTAATCAATCACGCATAGATTTTTGGTTAGTATTTGAGGAATTAGAGAACAAAATTGATTCAATTGGGACTGAAATGACTATTTTAGACAAACACAGTAGAGAAATTAAGTATCATGATTATTATCAAGATATTGTTAAAAAGCACTGAAAATGTTCAAAAAGTAATAAAACACAACCTGTTTGAATTTAAACATTTAAATAATAACGTGTGGTCTGTGCTCGACAGGAGTCTGGACTCACTCAGGACTGTTGTGGGGAGATGGAGGCCATCTTAGACAGTACCAACCATCCTCTCCATAACATTTTGGCAGGACAGAGAAGAAGCTACAGCTGCAGCAAACATCTCATCTCACTGTGCTGCAGAACAGAGAGGTTCAGGAGATCCTTTGTCTCCCCCATCAGGCTATACAAACACCTCAGCCAAAGGAAGTGGACTAATCTAGTTATTATTGTCTGTTAGATTAGATTAGATTAGATTAGATTAGATTAGATTAGATTAACTTTATTAATCCCACAACTGGGTAATTCATTTACCACAGCAGAAAAATAAACATCTATAGAATAAACATCTATGGAAATATACATCAAAAATACACCAAATATACACTAATAAATACAATATACACAATACACACAATATGTACATAAAAAAGTGCAAGTTTGCACATGGTCAGGAAGAGCAGGAGTCTGACAGCTGCTGGAATGAAGGACCTGCGGAACCTCTCCTTCTTACAGCGAGGATGTAAAAGTCTGCTGCTGAAGAAGCTACTCAGAGACCCTACAGTGTCATGCAGAGGGTGAGAGTTATTGTTCATGATGGATGTCAGCTTAGCTAACATCCTCCTGTCACCTACTTCCTCAATGGAGTCTAGGGGGCAGCCCAGGACAGAGCTCGCTTTCCAGATCAGTTTGTTGAGCCTCTGCCTATCCCTGTCAGTGCTGCCCCCTCTCCAGCAGACCACAGCGAAGTAAATGGCTGAGCCCACCACAGAGTCATAGAAGGTCCTGAGGAGAGCCCCACACACGCCAAAGGATATATATATTATTAACTGTTATTATTATTGTCAACAATGAGCTAATGGACACAGGAATTTTCCCTATGGGATAAAAAAAAAGCATCCATCTATATATATATACATGACGCACCTGTAATCTGCCCAGCATGGTTCTGTTAAACTAGAAGCATTGCTGTGCTCAGGGATGACAGCGGGCTGCAGCCTTTTTTAAAAACACACAATTACTGACAGAAGCGTCTCACACGGAGGGCTCTATATTAACAATCCAAAGCACATGGTATGAAGCACATGCCGCAATTGCATTTACGGCATGTCCATGTCACTTTTGCTATTTTAACAGCGGAAAAAACAGCCTCTGCTCCAGGCACATGGATTAAAAGGGTTGTAATTAATCTCTTAATTATTCATAGGAGTGTTTTAGGCGTAACAATCAATAATCCAGTCACAGTACCATTTCCCATATCCTTTAAAAGCCAGGTGCACTTGCACCTTGGCTTATTAATGTCATAACAGTGCAGTGTGTAAAACAGTTAGATTTCATTTGTGGTCAGTTTATCACATTCTTTGTCACTTGATGTTCCACGGAATGTTATTAAGGACTTAGACGAGGTGCTTTACAACTTCATTTGGAGAAACAAGTCTCTTATTTAAAAAAAGAATTACTTTGTAACACCAAAGACCGCGGTGGTCTGGAAGTTCTGGACTGGAGCTCTCTAAATAATTCATTCAAGATTAAGTGGATTATTGAATACTTAAAAACAAGAACAGCATTTGGAATATTTCCCCCAATTATCTATTTGATCCAGTTGGTGGTAGAGCTGTGCAAATGATCTAATTTTATTTTCGATTACGATTTTGGCCTCCAACAATTATAAAAACAAGATAATCGAGAGAAAACGATTATTGTGCGGCATTCTGTTCTCAGGTATCTTTAACTTATATTGTGTATAACGGGAATAACTACATGGACACAACGCTTTTTGTTTTGAAATCTTTTTTTCTGTTTTTTTCCAAAGTCAGAGAAATTGTAATCGAGCAGCCCTAGTTGGTGGTATCAATTTCTACTAAAATGTGACTTCTCTATTGATAAAATTCAAAACATCATCAACAAGCACTGACAGCTTGGTGATTAGCTTACAAACATAACCTTTCACCCCATAGATGCCTCATATGGAACAAAAAAGACATGCGATATAAAAATAAGACAATTTTCTAACACACATGGTTGATAATGGCATTCTGACAGTTGGCCAATAATTTTTGTGTCCCCTGGAAACACTTCCGTTGTGTTGTGAGTATTTGCAGCAAATGTGTTGTCAAATGATGATGAATATGTTTTCTTAAATTGTTTGTGTTTTGTCTATTTGCATGTGTTTTCCTTCGATAAAGTGTGTTGAACTCTCAGGGTCACCTTACCTTTCCCAATAGAAAACCCATTCAAAAGACATGATTAAAAATCAACCACTACATACAATTGCACCAAGAGTAGTAGCACCTATCTCATAAACATGTTTTAAATTAGCTTTGAAAACATGTTTCTATCTGCAACAGTCCAGGGACAGTACATGGATGTATGGAGAAGAGACAAAGAGCAGGGTAGGATAACAATAGTGTAAATGCTGCATCGGCAAATAAATACATATTGCCTATCCACATATTTTAGATAAATACCATGATACTGTGATGAATGCACTCACGTGTCTTCAAATAGATCATCGCCTTCTTCAAAATCCTCCTCTACCCCGCTTGAGAAACTATCAGGAGCTGAGTCTCCGTCGTCGTCGTCTTCGTCGCTGAAAGTATCTTCCAGCAGCTTGCTGACAGGGTCCTCCGTTGATAAACGTTTTCGTGACATGCTATTTATTTTATTGCTCAATCTATTCGTGTCTCTGCGTCCTCTCCTCTCCTCTCCTCTCTGCCATGTGTAAACTTAATGTAAACACAGCCTGTGCTGCAAGCAGATTAAAGCTTTCTCTTCGTCTCCTTTGCATTTTTCCTTTTGGCGGGCTGCAATACCAACTTTTAGGTGCATATCGCCACCTACCGTACAGGAGTATGGACAACAGGATCTAGTTAGTTAACGTTAGTCTGCAATGATGATTTTTAAAGAGGCTATATTCTATATTCTATTAAACAATCCGATTTTTCACTAAAAAAAAAGTCCATGGCATGTAGATTAAAGTGATTTTGATGAAATGTCACAATTTTCACAACAGTGTTTAAACAGCAATAACATTTTCATGGTATAAGTCTATTCTCTTTTAATTTTACACTTCACTCCTGTACCTTTATTTTAGTGAAATTCTAATTGCAGGACAATTTTTTTCCCTAATGCAATTTGAATCTCTTTTCTTTCCTAATGTGTATTCTTAAATGTGTGTATTGTATTTATTATGTTAAGTATTCCTATACAGCAAATGATATGTGTTTGCAGTTTTAATTTTTAATTTTGGTGGTATTTCATTGTATCCTACTTTTTCGAACTGAAGCAGATATAATACCAGCTAAGTTATTTGCGCTCTCTACTACGAGAATACTATATAATTCAACAATTTGTTATATAGTTGCTATTAATTTAAGGCAATCATTTTCAGTTATCCATAAATTGAGGACCTTTATTGTGAAAGTAAAGCAATCCTTGACCCTTCCCGGAAGTAACGTCTTCGTTTTCTCGAGGTGCCTCCAAGCAGTTTTGTTGTTCACCTTACCAAAATAATGTTCGTATGTTGTTTATGTAACACTGTAACTGTTTAAAATACGTTTACTGTTAATTTAAATCATATTTGTAAACCCCGTAAGTCTCCACTGTCACGTCCCTGTCCGGTTTAACATGGTGAACGCGGATGAAATCGCCAAGTTATGCTATGAGCGTTTCAACCAGCTGCCCCGGAGAGGGAAGCCTGAGCCGGGCAGAGAGTGGACCCTGCTGGCCGCTGTGGTCAAAATCACCCGGTGTGCTAACTCTGACACAGGTTGGACAACGGAGTGAACCACTACATATTTCATGTTCTCTTTATGTTAACAGTGACCGTAAATAGACAAAATCCGTCCTTTTTCAAACCTTTAAACAAACCATTGTGATATCTCATTGTGATATTGTTCGCCATATCGCCGCGTTAAGACTATTAACGTTAACTTTGAGCTGTTTCTATGTTACTGTGTATTGGTAAAGGGCACAGTCCAGTCCGTGTTACATTGTACAGGACAGGCGTTGAATGTTGAGAATACAAAACTAAAGCTTTTCTGCTTACACGTAGACTACTCAAAGTAGCACGAAACAGCAAAACAAATGAGTTAGAACATGAACATATGAAAATGTGTTATGTATGTTATTAGTATGAAGTTGCAATGTGATGAATAACATTTTAATTATTTTTATCTCTTACACAGTTAAAAAGGAGGTTGTTTCCCTCGGAACTGGGACCAAATGTATAGGACAGACATACATGAGTCCCAATGGTGTGTGGGTATTGACCTTGCTGTCTTTGATTTTTGTTCTCTTTATGCTCTGAATACTCTGTCTCTCTCCCATACTCTGAGTTTATTTTGGCAGTCCAGCCAAATTCATTTGCCAACACCCTGAATGTATTTATTTACATTTTTGAGTTTCATTAGTCTGTGCACAGTTCAAAATGTGTATTTTTTGAATATTTATTTATTTATTTATTTTTTGTATTTTTTTTCAGTTGGCTCTCAGTTTCAGATCTGAGACTTTAAATGTCCATTGCACAATTCATTAACTAGAATTATGTTTTTCTTCATTTCTTTGATACATTTTTTTTCTTTCCTTGATTTGCCATCTATTCAGGTGATGTACTCAATGACAGCCATGCAGAAGTCATTGCCAGACGGGGATGTATTAGGTCTGTATATATATTCAGTTTTGGGTCCATGCTGACCCTTGAGCATAAATAGAAATTTGTATAAGCTGCTTACATGTTTTGTGTGTGTGTGTGTGTGTGTGTGTGTGTGTGTGTGTGTGTGTGTGTGTGTGTGTGTGTGTTTATTTATAGATACCTGATTAAGGAACTGCACAGAGCTGTGAGTGGTGGCGACGGCTCTGTGTTTTGTCCAGCTGATCAGCAGGGGAAGTGGAGGCTTCAGCCGGGAGTTTCATTCCTCTTCTTTACAAGTCACACTCCCTGTGAGTCGAGTATGCTCCCAGTGTACCTACCTAACTGTCTATCTGTTAAATGACTGGGGCTGGATATTATCATGTTGTATTAACTCTATTCCGACAAAATTGACATTTTACACATCATGCAGCCCTAACTGAACCACATGTTTTGTTCAGATGCACCTGTACTGAGTAAAGGCAAAGAACGATCTTGGGATTTTAATAATCGATATTAGATCAGTCTAATAAAAATTTACATTAATCGGATAATCAGTTATTTTTATCCAGCCCTATAAATGACCAACAGCATCTTATGTGATACGATCCACAGGATTTAACTCAAGCTATATATTTTTGTCATATATTTTTATTCATCACAATTTAGATGCATTTATTTAAAGCATATGTTTTGTCTGTTATTCCTGTTCCAATTAAGAGTTTCAGGGCCTTGTATACATATCAGCCACCTTTAATCCAATGATATCAATGTCAGCCTTTGCAAAGTAAAATCTGACCCCATGACATTGGTTTGTCCAGGAAGACAAAATCAGTCTGAAACTTCTTGTGTATTACCAGGTGGTGATGCCTCCATCATACCCATGCAGCAAGACAGCCAGTCTCAGCCCTGCCCCCCTGTCAGATCTGTAAAGGGTCATGAAGGGACTGATGTACGAGGAGGCCTGAAAAGGAAAGCTGAGGAACCAAGTGAAGCACAAAACACTAAACTGCCACGTCTGGAGGATCAGGAGACAGCAGAGATGGGTCAGTCAATAAAAACACCCGTGGAGACTGTCTTGGAAGACTCAGCACAACTGGAGATAAAAACAAGAGGCCCCAATGACAGTGCTGGACTGCATCCACAGGTTCCAGACATTCACAGAACAGGGGCCAAGTGTGTACCGGGTGGCCCAGCTGACCCTCTGCATCCTGGGATGGGGTACCACAGCACAGGGGTGCTTAGGGTGAAGCCTGGGCGGGGAGAACCAACTCTGTCCCTTTCCTGCAGTGACAAGCTGGCCCACTGGGCAGTGCTGGGCTTCCAGGGTGCACTGCTTTCCCATTACCTACAGGAGGCACTCTACTTCAGCATCATGGTGGTGGGGAAGTGCCCATACAGCCAAGAGGTCATGCAGAGAGCTTTGGTCACAAGGTGAGGAAAAATGGTGAAACAATTAGCCTATTAATGAATATTATTGTAAATTCAATATCTTTTAGCAATTTGATGCCCTCGCCTTGAGCTTTAGGAAATTGCTATTGCTGTTTTTCTTTATTTTCTGAACCAGACTAAACTGCTAGTTGCTGTTACAGTTTTATTCTTGATCAGGTTCTTGTAAATGTCCTTGTAAATGTTGTAATGAACATTTTTAGCTTATCTTGTTAGTTTTGTGAAGAACATCCAAAATATGAAAACCAATAGTCAGAGGAAAATAATGGACGCAGCTACAAGTTATGAGCCTCTTCAAAAAGAATATTCCCTCAGGGCCCAATTTTTAAAACTGCATTTTGTTGACCTGTTGAATAAGCTGTAAACACAATATTTTGACATATAGATATCTTATAAAGTTGTTATGGTGAATGTGTTGGCACACAGTTGCTAATCCAGCAGACACAGAGTAACATTAGCATTAATTTGGAGTCATGTTTCTGGCAATTTTGTGGATGCAAATTAAATATTCAGTCAACTTTAAATCTGTTTTGGTCTCCACCAACTCCTGAGAAAAATATCTGTCTCTTTAGCTGCTAAATGTTTAACTTCCCTCATCATCTAGTCCCTAAACTTACCTGCAGCTTGGTGCTGAACAGGCAAAATGCTGTTCTTTGCTGAAAACAGCTGCCTGTGCAACTGGAAACAAGGTTGATGAGAGCATCATTTGCTGTGCAGAAAACCAAAAAAACGAGCTTTGTAAGGTTAAAAAAAACTAGAATTACTGTGTTGTGGTTTTATCCGTCCCCTAACCAGCCAAGTTGCAGGATATAAAGTCACAATCTCCTTCCTGAGTCACAGCATGAGTGTTTTTGCAGAACATTTTGATGTCACAGTGAAGATGACCATTGACCATTTGGATATAAAATTTCATCACTTCATTTTATCCTTATGGACATTTGAGTTAAATTGTCTCAGTTATGGCCAAAAACCTGTTTTGTGAAGTCACAGTTAGCTTTGACCTTTGACCACCAAATTCTAATCAGTTCATTTTTGAGTCCAAGTGAGAGTTTGAGCCACATCTAAACAAATCCCCTTAAGGCATTACTGAGATATCACGTTCACAAGACCAAAACTGTGTTTTGTGAGGTCACCACGACTTTGACCTTTGACCACCATAATCGAATCAGTTCATCCTTGAGTCCTAGTGAATGTTATGGCCAAATTTGAGGAAAATATCTCAGGGCATTACTGAGATATTGCATTCACAGGAATAGAACGGATGGACGGACAACCTGAAAAAAGCTCCATAGAGCTGAGTTTAGGTGATAATTTTCTGTGGGCATGTCACTATGACTTATAATCTTTCACAATATAAATTTGACTAATTATTCATAAAAAAAGATGTGTATTTTCATCGGCCCTTTTTTTAAAACTTCAAGCCCCTAAATTCATCACGGCTGTTCACCTCACTTTCCCAGCACTTGTTTCTGCTCAGTACGGTTTGTTCAGGGTTTCTACTCACATTTTTCACAGCAAACATTTTGGCTTGTTAAGCACAGGTGGAATGAATAGCATGCGTGCGGTCTCACTGGTAAAGCTTATGAAATAGAGCTATCATCACTGTTGCGGTCACACCTGTGCTACAAGTCAATTATCCTCTATTGGTTTGGGCCTGTCATCAGAAAGTGTGGTGCAAATATTAAACAATTATGCACCATTGGGAACAAGGTATTTTAAGGTCCTGCAGGAATGGATGTATTACACCATGTGCTTGCTTAAAGGTACTATATGTTCACATGTCTGTTTTAATTAGATTGGCACTATCATACAGGGCTGAATTTCTTTCCCAGTCTGACAAACAAAATTTGTTATCAAATTTACAGATGCTGAACGTCCACAATGTCACCATCTACAAAACTTATCTCTCTTATTTGTAACAGTGTTGGAGTATTGAAAGGATACTTTTACATTCAGTGTGAGTCACAGCAGGTTTATTGATCGTAGTCCTCATGTACTTCCCAGGTGCTCCCATGTATCAGACCTCCCTGCTGGTTTCTCTGTGTGTCCACCAGTGCTGCTCCAATCCAGCCTGGAGTTTCCCTTCAGCCATGCTCAGACAGTGCTGCGACACCAGGCAGGACAGGGACGCATCTCCCCCTGTGGGGCAGGTAGGATTGTCTCACTTACATTTTGAATGAATATTGTAAGTGCTCTGGTTATTAAACATAAGTAATTAATGCAGTATTTATGTTGACAATTTTGTTTTAAGATATGTGTTTGTATAAATGTATTTGTCTTCTTGCTGTCATCACTCAGGTTTGAGAGAGCCCGCCCCTCAATCATATTGGCTATCAGCAGTTTCACAGGGTGACGATAGGACGATTGGATTTTGGTTAAAATTGCACAACCCTTGTGTGTTCATGTCATATCAAAGTTATAGTAATTACAAGTTGTAAATAGTTTAATTTGGCACCATCCAAGTCGTAATTGTGTTGGGGAAAATTTGATTTTGTGGAAAGCATCAATATATCTGACTTTGTGCTAAATAATGGGGAAGTGACTTGTGATAGGTGACTTCAGTTATCCTGTTCCATTACACTTCTGCATAAGTCACCAAACTGCATAGACTATAAATCTTTCTCACAGCAGACAGTTTGACTTGTTACAGCAGCAAAAGCACAGGTGTTACTAATAACGATGGCTCAGTTTCTGTATGTCAGTTGATCAGAGTCCTTCCAAAGGTTCCTCAGCAATTATGACTTATAGACTGACTGATCGATCATATTTCCGTCACTGGTCAATGGAGTGCCAAGCCGCAGTCTATCGAGCTGCTTTGGTTTCCCGACTGCTCGGGAACTGCAGGGAACTGGAGGAGAGCTTCCAATACACTGAGGCTCAGCTCCATTACAGCAAATGAACTACTTTCATTCCGTGTATCATAATTACTAAAGGAGGCAGAGGAATAACTAAAAATAAGAAACACAGAGCAGAGGGAGGGAGAGAGAGAAGTCATCAGTAACGAGGCTTCGTACTAACGACTATGATCAGCTCTACATATCAAACAGAGGGAGTTAGACATAAAGACCTGCCTCTAATAAAAGTCTGTGACGTTCTGGAGTTGAAGTAAATAAAGACTAAACTATTGTGGGGCCAGACGGAGGCTGGGCTCTGTGTCAGAGACTAAATAAGAAAGAGAGTCTGTCTCAGGCCCCAGTGGTTCACCTGATGGAGCGCAAGACACTTTGTCTTTGCCCCTGTCTCACTATGCCTGAAATAAAGGCAAAAGCTTGAAAAATAACTTTAAAAAGAAAGATATTGTGTCTCTTCTTACTTTTTCTGTGAGTGACAATGTAACAGTAAATCCATCTGACACCAGAAGTCTTTGTCTTTCATGTATGTATTTGGTGTTTTGTCAGACAATGTCTGTCCAGACATATACCAGGTTTTCAACTAGTCTTGTTTACGTGTGGTTCAGCCATCAGCTGGTGTAATGTCACTGAGCAGCCACTAGATGTCACTGCCAACGGCTACAAACATGGAGTCACAAAGAAGGCCTTCGGCACAGCTAAAGCCAGGTGGAGCCAACACACTCTCATCATACATTGTCTATGTTTCATGCATTTTGTCACCATAAACTATTCTCTTAGACCAAATTTTAAGTAACATTTCTGTGTTTTTGTGTTTTCAGGTCTCTTCTGTGTAAACTGGAGCTTTTCCACTCCTTTCTGTCTCTGGTATCCGCCACCAACCCTTCAGCACTTCCCAGTTCTCTCAGGTAACAAACAATGGGCTCTTTCATAATCTCACGGTGGTTTGAAACAGCCTCAAACTAAATCTGAACAACCCCAGAAACTAATGAAGATCTCCCAATGATGATCTGGCTTTCATCAGTTTGTCCTTTTCAGTAACTCTCATCTCATTTGCTGCTGAATCAACAGTGACCCAAATTACCAACAGCAATAAGTACATGTTTTATGTGTCACAGTCAGACTGACATTTTCCCTCCAGCAGAACTCATGGTCTGAGCTTTGATTTTAATGAATGGCTCTAAGGCTTTTCTCAAGTCACACTGCAATCTGGATAAAAGACAAGTGAATACAAAATTAATGCCTTTTTATTTCTTCATGTACATTGAGGCCAGCGTGTCAGTGCTGCTGTTACTGTGTATGAGCTACTTGTGCTTTGTTAACAAGTCATATAATGTCTCAGATATTTCTTTTCAAAGGATCTGGGGTGTCCAGAGCTTTCAGAGATTACACAACAAGTTGTCTGTGTGTGTGCAGTTATATGTGTGCTATGTCTTTCTCTGTGTGCGCCTTTGTGTGTGACATTTAGTGCTCACATTTCATCTGTTAGATGCCACCTGTGCATCCGGATGTCCCTGTTCACATGCTGTGTGTGTGTGTGTGTGTGTGTGTGTGTGTGTGTTTTCAGGGAAACAGAGCTGCAGACCTACTGGGACTACAAGCAGGCATCCCAGTCGTACCAGCAGGCCTGGCAGCAGCTACACAGCCAGGCCTTCCCTCTGTGGCCACGCAGCAACAGAGATCTCCTGCTCTTCCACTGAAATCCCTCTCTCCTGAAACGTCTGCAGCTGAAATGTTCCATCAAGGTCGATTAACAACTGGGAAGTCACAGGTCAAAAATAACTGCTGTCCTAAAATAGGACACTTTTCAGGTTGGAGAAGCTTGTGAAATGAAAGAATTGTAGTATCAGACATATTGGACAATAAGAAATACATAATCATCTTCATCTTCATCTCTTCATCTTCATCTTCATCTTCATCTTTTTCTTCATCTTCATGTAACACTTTTAATAAAATGACAAACTTGACTGGTCTCATTTCCTAACATCTGTTGGGTCAGCTGTTCAGTGAAGTTTGAGGTCTGGATAAATATTATTTGGCTATATTTGACTCTCCATAGCCCAGGATGTCACCGCTTGCAACCACAGGACACCCTGCGCTGTCATGCTGTTTGAGGAGGTTGATGACCGTTCTTCAGTGTCCTCAGATGATGCTTTTATTTTCACAATGCGTGTAACATGTTGTGACTGCAGCTGCAAACACAGCAGGATGCATGTCTGCAAGTGGACAATAAGTTTCCTGCGACAGTCGTAAGCAGTGTTTCCAGTGCATGTGAGAACAGGCTTCAGTCCTTCATCGAGGACCGGACACAAAATGAATGTAGGGACTGAGGATCAGTTGTGTTTTTGCTGAAGCTCAGCAGATTTCCACTCGCCCCAATTCAGCTTGGCTAATACTCAACAGCATGTTGCAAGTTATGATCAGGATGCCTTGCATTGTGTATTTAATGCCATTCTCATTCCTCAGAGATTTAGGGTTGTTGTTGTTTTTTTTTAAAACTGCTGAAGTGCACACATATACTGCAAATTACTGTTGAAAGTAAAATAGCCCCAAGTATTTCTATTAATTTAAATATTTTTCATGTTACATTAGATGAAAACAAACCTTTTTATGTTTTACATACATGACTTTTGAGGATATTTTATATTTATACATCAAGATCAGTATATTCACACTCAGAGGTGGACAGGTATCAGTGTTCTACAGTCATGCCAGCAGCTCTGTCATGATGTTTAGCAGAGATAATGTTAACCATTTTCACCACCTTCGTTTAGAATGTTAGCATGCTAACACAAAGCACAGCAGTCATTAGTTTTGCACGTCTCTGGTGATACAGTAAACCAAACTATTGGACAAATTCATTTTTGACCTGATGATGGTGCTAGAGGAAAAGTCAGTGGATCACCAAGTCTTCAGGAGTCACATGAATCTCTACAGAATTTCAAGGCAACACATCTAGTATTTGTTGAGGTGGTGTAGTCGAAACCACAGTGGTGAGCTGAGGAACAAACGATCAGGCTGCTAGCATAGCTAAAAACAACTTGTCATCAGCTTGGGCTTGGAAATGACACATTTATAACAGATAGTTACAAATTGGGGTCAGGTTTGAAAGATGTGGTCATTTAGCAGAATGGGAGGGTCTTATACTGGAGTTCCCATTTACCTGGGTATGTCTGAGATGGACAATAATGTAGCATTTATATTTATGTACTGCTTTTTACCACAGTACTATGTAACAATATGGGAGAGGAGCCTATAGTCTAGATTTAAAAATGTTTTTTAATTAATATGGATATAAGCAGGTACAGGTACTGAACATAGAGCAACACATGGTTCAGCAGTCAATTTGAATCTGGCATAACAGGGTAGTACTACTCAGTACTGAAATCATGAGCTAGAGGTCAGATGACATGCAAGGTAAGAAAGCATCGCAAATGTGCAAATGAAAATATATTGTTCATCACTTCAAGGTAGCTTGTGGAATTTACTTGGAGCAAAATGTTGTTAGGTGGGATTGCTAAAAGTGCAATCCCATGTTCTTCTCAGGTTCAAAAATAATTCATTATTTTTATTATTTTCATTATTATCATTATTATTATTATTACGCCATTTTCTGACCTTAACTCCTGAAACAATGTAGTTTAGCTGTGAGGGAAGTTGCTAAGACAGAAACATTCAAACCTGTGTAATTTAGCCTCTTCCTGCACACTCTTACTTTCTTGTGAAAATTAATTCAAACTTTAAACAGATCACACCTGTAAATATTCAGGGTTTTTTTTTACAACTTTGATGAATTGTCTTTAAACTCAGTTCAAGTTTCCTGTACATTTCATTAACAAAGCAATGCAGCTCAGCTCAGTCTTTCTCTGCGTACTTAAACTCACTTATACAATGTTACTCCCATTTAAAATCCTTTCACTGTTTACATTACAGTGAACTTTCTTTATCTTTCTCCCATTCTTCAGTGGAGGACAGTAACAAAGTACATTTAAACTTAAATTTAACTTAGCTTAAATACTTACTTAAATACATTTTTCCAGTATTTGTACTTTACTTGAGTAATATATTTTTATAAACTTGACTTTTACTCCACTACCCTTAAAAGACAAATACTGTACTTTTTAATTCCACTACATTTCTAGGAAGTACTCGTACTGTGAAGCAGAGCTTTTAGACAGTGAATGAATTTTTCTTTTGTTTTAAAAAATGTGATAGACCACACACTCTGTTCATGACAGGAGAAAAACCAATCACAGTCAACTCCTCCACTGTCAGTCATGTTTGAACCTGTCAGTGTGCTAACAGTGATAAAGATAAAGATGAGAAAATTCTTCACCAGAGACCGTGGTCTGATCTGAGGTCTGTGTTTGAAGGTTTAGAAATAAAGAAAGATTCCTTTAGTTGTAAATGTTTGATGTGTTTACCACGACCAAACTCCATCACTGACATAAAAAATTTGCCGTCCAACTTTAGAAAGCATGTCGAGGTCCTCTTGTTGATTCACTTGTGTTTTTATGACCATGTATTTAGTCTTTGTATCATATCCTACAGTCTTTTTATTCAGCAGGTTCTACAGTCAGTCAGTCAGTCAGTCAGTCAGTAGGTTGTTTCAGAGTTATCAGGTTCTGTAAATATGAAACCATTCAACAATGTTGAAGCAAAAAAAATACTTTTAAATACAGTATTTTTTAAATCCACCAGTACTAAAACTCAAGTAAAAATCTGACTGAACAACTTTCACTTGTATTGGAGTCATATTTGACCAGGAGGATCTGTACTGTGACTCCAGTAATGGAGCTGTGGACTGTGTCCACCTCTGCCAACTGTTGATCAGCAGAATAGTGTGAAATGATTGTGTTAAAAAATAACATTAACTGTGTGCTTGTATGCATGTCCTTGTGCACATGTGCAAAATACAAAACAAAAAAGGAAGCCACTTGTAAAACAACCACTCCGTAGCGCTACTAGTGGTCAAAAGTTGCACAGGGTACCTTTAATTTTGAACAACTATGAAGTTAATTTCTAATGAGACAGATACACTTTTCAATTCATTTTACATTCACTTTTATTGGTCAGGTCTTCCAGCTACCTTACCTTTTCAAATATCTAAAATTCCATTATGTCATTAATATATATTTAACGATCATACAACACTGATGAAATAAAACAATCCTCAATATCATAGCATTCCATCAATATATTACACATCTACATACCATGTTTAAATGCCTAAATCAGCTTTGTGGTGCACACACATGAATACTTGGATGGATTGGGTAAAGTGTGGAAACACACCAGATGTGTTGCTCTGATTCAGCACCAAAAACTACAGCTGCAGCCGAAACGTCAGCTTCAGAGCCATCTGAGTGAAGAGAAGAAAGATAACAGTGGTTCTGGTTTTACACCTGAGACCCAACACTTTACTTGAAATATTGGATTTGTGAATTGCAGTGTCATATATTCTTTCTGTGGTCCAAAACACCTTAATCATCAGGGACAGGGTCAAATATTGTGTATCTCTACCTCTTGTGACAATCTCATGACACACAAAGTCCAGGAACATAAGGAAGAAAACTACATTATAATAATGCTTCTGTTGTTATTATGATGTGCTGATGACTCACAGTGTTTCAGCAGTTACCCTAAAGACTTGAACATGGATCAGTTCTACATACTGGATACATGTGAAACCAGAGGTGAGGCAATGCAGCTGCCTCCATGTTTGTTTTCTCAGTGGGGTGTAAACAGTTGTTTTGGTGAGTGGTAAGTCTTATAAGATTCTCCTCTAGTGCTACATGTTGAATTACTGTATGACCCACTTCCTCTACTTCGGCTGCAGGGAGCAATTTCTTACATTTTCCAGAATGCCTTTAAAAAAAACTCTAAAAAGCTTGTTAGCCATCCAGTTCATGGGAATCACAGTGTGGCGCAAGGTTTTACACCAAACACAGCATTACTTATAACTGGACACACTCTCTTCTAAAGCCAATACCAGTACCTGTGTTGACATGTCATTTGTCTTTGGCCAAATTAATGGGAAACAGTAAAACGATGAAAACATCAAAATAGGACTAAAGTTGGAAGGTGCTGTACAAATATAAAAGACCTTATTAAGTTGTTTGGCTAACATATTAGCTAACAGTTGCATATTTACACATCCAGGAGACATGGAGTAACATTAGACTTCATTTGAAGTGGGACTGGTGCCCACCTAATGAATTTAAGTCAAATATTCACTCTGCTTACAGCCCTGTTCTGGGGCCAGATTCACCAAGCTGTGTCAGACTGGTCTGTAGTGTTGGTCCAGTCTTCATGTTGCTCACAGATCAGTCTGATGTTAATCAGAAAATCATGGACAGAAAAACATGGTTCATAATTAGTGGTTTGCTAACACTGTTATGGAGAGAGCAAAGAGAAGGGAAAGAGTTTCTAGAGACCGCAGAGATTTTGTTTTTTCCGAATCAGATTTTTCTTTTTATCTATCTTCACTGAATTTCTCAAGTAAAACGTCCTTGTAACTGTGGAATTCCTCCAAAAGACAAACATTTTCTGCTGGGTAATCAGAGCTGAGAGGTTGGATGTGGTTCCTTGGTCAGCCATTTTTTTTTTTATACTGAAAGAAGTCTTAAATTAACCAGAATTCATTGTAACACAGTCACAGTCTGTCTTTGTGAAACCCGCCCCAGGGACCCAGGACCTGTGAACCAGCAAACCAAAACAATGAGCTGAAACAGGCTTCAAAGCTCCACAGAGCTGAGGGGTACAGCAGAGCTTTTCCCTTTAATCCTCCACTATCGTCAGGGCTTTGGTCATGTCGATGCAGTGCATCTCAATCTCATAATCTCAGGCCATTATATTATGCACTGCAATATTTTCCTATGTACTTGACAGGGATATCGCAGCACAAATACAACTGAGTCTGACAAGTCAGAATGAAGCAACAAACCTCTTAGAGGGGAATCACAGGTGTAATTAATAACATGAACAATGACTCCATTCCATTTAGATGTGTCAAAATCCCCACTGATTTGTGTAACCTAGAACTGGACAACTAAATGGAATGTAGCCACTGTTAATATAATGAGTTACACAGTGAAAAAGGATGATAAGCTACACATGTTCATGGAAGCTGTGGAGAGGCATTCTGGGGAACGTAGGAACGTAGAGGTGGATGCTGCAGGTTGAGGCAGAACGCGTAACACCTCATCACCGAGTATCTCTAATATAAGATGAGGAACTGAGTGACTCTTTTCCATTTAAATGGTTGTAATTTTCAGATTGTTGCCCCCGTGAAGACGACGTAAAAAAAATATCACAATTCAACACAATAAACTTCAAGGAAAGTGTTGGGAGTTCTTTAGCAGTTCACTGAGGTTCATGACCTGCTGTTGGCATCATGAGTCTGAGTCCTGGGGGGTGCTGACGTCTATTCAGTCAACATAATGGGCAAATATATGACAGCTAAGACTGAGTAGCACTCAGTAACAACCCAGGGACTGGTGCTGGGCCCCGGCCCTGAGCGGGACACACTCTACACACTGACTGCCTCCTCACCAGCTTACAGTCACCCACTGCCCCAACAGCTTGAGCTGCCTTCTTTCACATGCTTATAGTCCTTCTCATTGCCTATTGCAGTGCTGAGTGTACCTGTGGAGTTAAATCACATACTGAAGTTTTTATATATGATATGAAGAGCCATACAAATACGTCCATAATGTGATTAATGACTCTGAGTCACATGATTATAGGATTGCTCTCTCACTTCAGCTCAATAACAAATATCTGTGACAACAAAACCGGACTGACAGAAACTAAAGCATGACTGGGTAATGTATGTGTGTGCGTGTGTGTGTGTGCGTATATGTGTGTGTGTGTGTGTCAGAGCCTTAAATGAGTTTCTTTAGTCTAATATTGATGTTGATATTGAACTAATGATAACTGACGCGCCAATAATGTGTGGTAATTATTACTCTTATCTATGGCAGTGTTAAAGATATTTCTCTCCACAACTGACCTTTAAGCAGTAATTATAACAAAAAGACTGTTAACTGTTAAATTCAAACATTTGTTGACACTAATTTTCACCATAAATGTGTGTTTTTAGTATCAAAAATGACCCAGAAATGACTGTGCCAAGTGTGTAGGTGCATTACTTGTGTAACACATGTAAATGCCAATGTCTGAAAAATTGTGCACCAGCGTATTTCGGACCCTACTATGTCAGTGTGTGTGTGTGTGTGTGTCTGTGTGTCTGTGTCTGTGTGTGTGTGTGTGTGTGTGTGGGAGAGAGAGAGAGAGACTGGTATTTAGGTAAGCTTTAACCACATGTTGTATAAAAGGCCTTGCTGTAACCAAAGGTGTTTTCTCCACTGTAGGCCACGTACAGGAAGCCGTCCTCATCCTTCTCCTTGTCGTAGAGCTGGCCCATAGTCAGACTGCAACACACAGAGATCACACACGGTCAGGTAGAGCTGACCATATTTACATCTCCAATATGGGTTGTGAGGACTGAGGCCTCTAATAGTGGATATTTTGTGTGCTTATCTTCAGCAGTCCCTAAAGACAACACACAGTCAACTACAAAGGAAAATGCATTTCAATTGAAGACAAAAAAACTGCTGTAGAGACTATATTACACTCCATCACAGCTGTACAGAATGGCAATACACGATGATAGTAAATTCATAGTGTGGAGCTGCTGAAGGAACTCTGCTCCACTTGCTGTGGGATGCATCAAAATTAAAGAGCTCTGGTTTGGAATAACAAAGCAAGAGATGACCAACACTAATACAGCCATTCCACTCACACCTCATTCATTTACATAACTTCAACACAGTCCCCTCAAAAAATAAAAATATCTTTCTCTCAAACACACCAACACAGAAAGAATGGATCACTGAAACAATTGAAATGATTAAATTGGAAAAGATAGCTCTCAGTCTACAGAATAATGAGCCACAATATAATGTAACATGGGCTCCTGTGGAGAGGTACCTACTGTCAATATAAAGGAGGGATGCAGGAAAAAAGGAGGGGGAAAAAAAAGAGACCACCATTTTTGTTTAGTTTACTTCAGTATTTGTATTGCTTTTGCTGTGGCTGTGATTTGTTTTTATTTCTCTGTCAGTGCTGTATTAACACTGAATGCTATTTGTGTTGTAACAAAAGAGTGCAGCTCAAGTTAAAGCATATTAACAGTACTTCTGGCTGATATTGTTTAAGGGGTTTATTGTGTTAGGATTGGTTTAATATTATGGAACTGTAGTATTTGATGAGTTAATAAAAAAAACTTCAATACAAAGCTCTGGGAAGCAGGTCAGACTCCTCAGATATACTGTACCACTGTGTGTCACATCGGCACAAATAAACACAAACAAAGAGTGTGTTTGTGTGTGTTTGTGACATGTGTAAACTGAGAGTCCAGGTGTGGCTTCATCCTCTTTCACAGGGAGATCGATTACTCACACACTACAGATGATCAGATAAATTCACTGCACATAATGGACACATGAATGGGACAGTTGGTACAGTTGGACTTTAAGTAGGCCTGGGCCTCACCGTACAGCCTTTAGAAAATCGACCCGACCACCACTGGACTTTTGAGGATGATACAGATATTGATAGTTTAACAAATTCAATAACAATATATCAGCTGATAGTAAAAGTAGATTTTTTTTTTAATGCAGCCAAAATACACTGTACACACAGGTCACTGTGAACCAAAGCCCTGGTGGTAACTTTTCATTTGTTTTATTGACTTAGTTAGCGATATTTGACAGAACAGTTATCTATTTGAGGAGCACAGATTTAGTTAACTTTCTCCGTCAGGTTTGCTATATTAGTTTCATAAACTTAAGTTATTTAATTGTTACCACCTCCTGTGGAGGTTGCTGCTGGAGTTTCCTGGCTGGCCATCAAAAGGAGTCCCAGCTCCATCAGACCTGCTTAAACAGTGTTGATGAGTAACTGGACTGCATCATGTTCCTCCAGCATCTTCTAGTTTGATTTTTCTTATGTTTGTTTCAGTACTTTTCCTCAGTTAATATGGGGCAGCATTAAACTGTAGTTTGTCTTTTGGTCTATCCTCTGTGTGTCTGAATGGCCTGATCAGCCACTGTATATGTTTCCCTATGCTTCAGTCAGTTTGTGCTGTTAAGTTCACATCTGTTAGTGCTTGAGGTTTGTTCTTTCATGGGCCCAGAGTTATGGTTAGAAGTATTTTGTTATTTCTTTTTTGCTTTTTGTGAATGAATATGGACTTCAATTATTTTTCAAAAAACTCCCTGTATCTCCCTGTCCATCAGCTCGGTCCCTGACGGACACACTGAGCCATGTCATGTACAGTCAACTGAGCTAGTGTCAGTGCATTTTCCAAAACTTCCCAATAAAAGCATCTCACCAGTTCTTCAGCTTTTAGTTTGAAGAAGCCACAGCAGGAAAGGTTCAGTTCGTATTTGCAGCCACTTAACACAGCTCTGATACAACTGACCAGTGAACAGTAAAATAAGCACACACAGGAACACAAGAGTGAACCTCAACTCTGAGATTCAGGTAGAAGCAGAAAGACTTCACAAACAGAGATCTCTCTCTAGTTTCCAGCACAGTTTATCTGCTCAGGACAGAGGAGGACAAATACATGGGATGGCCCTGCTGCCTAACACAGCTGCAGCAGTTTACAGCAGAAATAAACATGTTTACAGCCTGGTACAAAAACAGTGGTCTCTAGAGCTAACTTCCTCCTTCATGACATTTTACATTACATTTTATTAAGGATCAACGTTCTGTATAATTGAGGGTGTGGCAAGTGACAGGTGGGTGAGTGAGTGTATGCTTGTCACAAACCGGTATGTACCGAATTCTGAGTTCCACACGCCCAAACCATTTTGACTATTTTTGGATTAGCTGGGAGTTAGGGGCAGAGTCAGGCACTGCAGAGATGGCAACATTGGGAAGCCCACTCTGAGCTCCAAAACGCTCCTCAGACACTACATTGTCTACATTAGGCAAACACAGCCACACTACACGCTATTCATTAACTTTGTGCGTACCCAAAGCAATTGTTCCAGCTGTCTATTGACTCCAGTCTAAATCTACCCGAAGCTTTGAACTTTGACATTCTCATTGGAGAACCTAGGCGTGCTGCTCTCATGTGCATCCCGAATGACAGGCACGCAGAGAGAGCCGGTAAAGAGACTGACAGTAAAAACCTGGATTTTTTGATGCTCCAGTGGCCTACTAATGCGGTGGCCAACCAGGATTTGTCCCAGTACTTCTCAGGACCAGTCGAACAACACAAGACTGTACATGATATATTTGACTCTCCAGCCCTCAAAGCACTATGGCAGCATGCAGACATAGGTTTGGCTATGCAAGACGTCTTATTGACAGTAGGTGAGGCAGCTCCTCCCTACTGATACTAGTGGTTGCTAAATTATTCTAGGAATGGGTTTTGTTTGGCAACCATCTCCAGTTGCAGTTGCTTGTTGAAGGTGTGCTCATAATTTAGGTGAATGATTTAGATGGTAACAATGCTGAGGGTGAGCCTAATGTAGTGAAGCAACTGACTTCTTCTATTGTTGTAAAATATAGAAAGCGTGGGAACAGCTTTTTAAGAAGGCAACCCTGGAAAGAGGTGTGGTCTCAAATATTTATAGTCTAATGTTTATGGCTGCCCCTAATGAATACTCTAAGCAAATGACTGAGGATCTGAAAATTAAGTTGACTAATGATGGAGGGGAGGCTATAAAAAGGTATCAAAGTTCTTCCATCTCGAAGTTTCCACTGTTCAAAATGTCATTAATTAATTAGTTCCTTATTATTCATATATTTCAATATGATTTTTATTGTAAATGTAATAAAAATAAAAGTAGACCTAATGTTGAGATAGATTATGTAGCTCAAGAAGGTGTCAAGTCTCTACAAGTTGATTATACACAGTAAAACAAACAGAGAACAATGGCTGCCCATACAGGTGGAAATACATTCATAAAATTAAAAAATGAAATTAAAACACAGTATACAAATGTTACCAGTAATGTTAACTGTTTAGTAGTAAAATGGGCTCAAGCATGTATAATTCTAGACTGATGCTGGTACAGAACAGATGAAGGTGAATAAGGTCCAAATTGTGTCACAACATTTTAATGATCTGACCCAGTTCTAAAAGAAAAATAATGTAATGTTGTTGTTTTTTACTGGAGGAATAATCAAATGTGACTGATTTCATAACATTCTGAAGACATAACCCTAAACCATGTTAAAGATATGAAACCTTTTTCTATGATTAACCCCATTTGCACCTTTTCTTACTTGGTTTTCCGTTTTCTGTGGGGACAAGTTAATAACATGGACTAATGTCACACACAATAACATTTGCAACGTCATACAAATACGCAAAACTACAGTAAATAACAAAGAAAAAAACCTCAGCAATGAGTTTAACTTTAAAATGTCCATGAGTGAACACTCTCGGGCCGGAATAACAGGTTCCTCAGACACCTATGGGTGACGTCACAGACGCTACGTCCATCTTTATTTACAGTCTATGGGGCTAACACAGCTGGAAAAATGGGTAAAACTGAACTTTTTGTGTTTTGTTTTTTACATGTTTGACCAAAGAAACAAACAAACTCTAATGATATAAATATTGATTTCTTAACAAAAATTAATTTTCATTTTAGTCCAACTTTAACATGCATTCACAGAGACAGATCAATGCATTCAACAAGAGGATTTTCAACCCAAAAATGTTTATCCAATCCAAAATAAACACTAGAATCAGAACCAGAATTAGCCACCAACCAGACAAATTATAGGAAATATTGTCACAGTCTCTCCTTCCTGAGTTTCAGCATTGAATAGTGGCCAGAGGTGTTTTTACAGAACATTATGATGTCACAGTGAAGTTGACTTTTGACTTTTTGGATATAAATTTTTAGCACTTAATTTTATCCTTGTAGACATTTGAGTTAAATTCTGTCATAATTAGTGAATTAATTCATGATTATGGCCAAAAACGTGTTTTGTGAGGTCACAGTGACCTTGAACTTTGACCTTTGACCACTAAAATCTAATCAGTGCATCCTTGAGTCCTAGTGAACATTTGTCACGGTGTTACTGAGATACTGAATTCATTAGAATGGGACGGACGGCCCTGCCATGATAAAGATGGATCCAGAGAACAGAATTATTCAAACCATTCTTGCTGCCCTGTTTCAAAACTGCTACAAACAGCACTTCATCATCACTAAATCATTTCAACATTGATTCTGAGAAGTAAACCAGTAAGACCATCAGCAAAAAGCTGCACAGCCTTGAAAAGCCTCTACACTGCTTTTTACATTGTGTACTACCTCGGAGGAGAAGTTTGCTTTAGTGTGTCATGGCCCAAATAAAATAGACTGATTACACAAAACAGGAACAATTTTGTCGTCAAGGCTTCACTGTCTTACTGCAACTTAACTTCCGCAATAGCAACTGCAGGATGTAGTGATGTAGTGTTTCTCTCACCTGGACTGGGGGACGGTTTTGTCGACGAAAAGGAAGATGGCTTTCTCTGACGGCAGCTGGATGCGTTTCCTGATGATCCACATGAACTGGGCCACTGTGATGTCAGAGGGCACCAGATACTTCCTCTTATCAATGTCCACTATCTGCGAGCCAGAGACCTTCTCCACTATCACCTGGAGCACATAAGTGAACAGATAAACAGACTTTTAACACTGTCTGGAGATATACATGTACACTGGTTACAAATGTCAGCAAGCTCAAATATTGTTGTTATTGTTTTTTGCAGTTTACTGCTGTAACAGAAGCTTCATGATGATTATAGGATGTGACAACACCAGTTTTTCAGGCTCAGCTGAACCCGACAAAGAACAGCCAAACCTTGTGAGTCCTGTCCTTCTGTCCCACTTTATATTTAACTATTTTTGTTTCATTTTAGTTGACAGACACTATTTAAGTTGGTGAATATGGCACTTAATAACTTTTTTGTTTTTTCAGGTTGTGTAAAGTAGATACTCATGATATATACAATATTCTGGTTTGTTTAAAAGCTACATATCTACACTAGATACACCTGGGGCTGGCTTCACAAAGACAGACTGTGACTGTGGATTAGATATAACAAACAGTCAGACTTCAGATAGACTGAGTCTAAATTCGTCTGTTGCACAAAACAGTTTAGTTCTTGACTATCTTAAGCCAGACTGTGGTAATATGAATTCTGGGTAAATTAAGACTTTTTTCAATACAAAGAAAATGGCCGACCGAGGAACAGCTCCATTTACCTCAGCAGAAAATGTTTGTGTTTTGGAAGAATTCAACAGTTACAAGGACGTTTTACTTGGGAAACTCAGCGAAGAGTGAAACAATAAAAAGTAAAATAAAAATCTCATTTGGAAAAAAAAATCTCTGCAGTCTCTAAAAACTCTTTCCCTTCTCATTTCCCTCTCCAAAAAAATGTTAGAAAGCACAAATGATGAGCCATGTTTTCCTGTTTGTTGATGTTGGGTGCTACTGGTCAGCACAGGTGTCACATTGGTGTTAGACCTGGGTTGACCTCGGGGTAAAGTGTCTAATGTTTTTATCTTAAAATGAGTCAGTCTTTATTTTAGTGAAACAGTCTGACAAACATCAGACTGATCTGTGAGCAACATGAAGACTGGAGCAACACTACAGACCAGTCTGACACAGCTTGGTGAAACTGCCCCTGTACTTGAGCTTCTGCTGCTGTGACATACATCCTGATGTTACCTTAAATACAAACTTGCGATGCCTGATTTGAACTCGGATGTTTAAATGCATCGTCGCAAAGTGGAAAAAATGTTTTAGCTTGAAGCAACTTGATGGGAAATTATGTGGCTTAAATGTGTTTATGTCCTGATATTTCCACAAGATTATACAACAATAGAGGGGGAGCAGGGCTAAAGAGACAAACCACCCACACCACTGCAATGATTGTATCACTGGGGTTGCAGGTGAAATCCTCTATTGCTTTGCTGACACAGGGGTTAAAAGAATAGATAGTGGTGATGACAGCCAAATTCAAAATAAGAAAAGTCAGGCAATTTGCCTTGTGGAACTTCATGGAAATGTCCTAATATGTCACACTTTGCCGTATGTATTAAAGGATCTTCAATCTTGTTCCATAGTTTTCACGTGACAAAGCAGACGGTCACTGAGTCACTGAGACTTAGAAAACTGAAGCTTCTCCGAGCTGTGTTTAAATCTGTCCGTTTAAATCTGTCCATCAAGAAAGTCAATACCACTCTCTCATTCTCTTCTTTCCCTCCTGTAACTGCCCTTCACTCACCCAGTCCCTCTCTCCTTATCTCTAGACTTTCTGTCACTTACTCTATCTGCACCCTTAACCTCCATCACACTGCTGAAAACACCACCCCCACCTCCCTCACTCACCGGTACTCTGTCAGGATATTTGTTGCGTATTTTGGCTGACTCCACACATCGGTGCTCTGAGGGGGGAGACAGAAAACAAACAGGAAGTCCGAGATTAAAGGGATGAGTGGGGCCTCTTGGGAGCCTCCTCTTGTACCTTACTGCCAAATACAGCCGAGCCCAGTCCAGTACAGTGCTTTGCATGCAGGATCAAGCCCAGCATAAGGGCTGGCAGCGGCTTAAGCAGACAGAGGAGTGGAAGCTTTTACAGGATTCAACCAAAATCATTACTTTTAAGTTTTAATAATGAATTAAATCAGTCATAATAACAGTCTTTATTAAGTGATACTACCAACTTATCATTATCAAAGAGCAAGTGATAGTGTATCTACTGTGGGCAGGACCAGATGCAGCAGGCTGACACTGAGCAGAGGCTGGAGAGGGGAGGGTGAGCTGATGGGTGATGAGATGTGTGGATCCATTTAGGTTCAACACATTGCATGCTTTCATTAGCCCAGATAAGAGATCTACTTTTAGAAACATCTCCTCAAAAGCTATAGCAGTGTTTCTTTAAAAAGGAGACTTGAGGTTATCTGAAGAGAATATGAACACATGAGCTGAAAGGAGCTGAAGAGCTCAGCAACAGCAATGACAAGTATTGGGTTGTTAAACAACCTGCCCCAGCTATCAGCTATATAGAGTATGGAGAGAACTTTGTACCAATTCAAAATTCAAATTAATATTCCCTTTGGAACCTTAAAGTGTTCATGTTAGTGGAACATGTTATAAGAACTTAAACAAATACTAAGGAAACACTTTTCAATTCGGCATCCATTTAGTATACACACTCACTATTATTAGCCACATTCACATGTCCTGATTCTACATTTGTTTCGCATTAAATCCTGTCTGTAAGTGTTGGACTGCTGGAGTTTTTTTATATCCCAATTCCCTTCTTAAAATCTGGTGCATCTAAAGCAATTTTCAACCAGGGAGTTAATAAAGGCCTCAGCAAGGCATCAAGAAATTGACAGGTTCTTGAATGGATTTTAACGATGAAATGTCTCCATGCAAAAGAAGGACGTGTCTCTCACTGACTGTGGTCTATCAGCGATGTTAAAGGTGAACCCCGTTTTGACAGCTTGTAATTTTACTTGCAGGAAGACCATGTTAGCATTTGTTGCTAGTCATGCAACGTTAGCCATTATGGATTTACTACAGTCAGTTGCGGGGTGCTGTGACAGCATGCATCGCTGCACCTATGTGGGATGACATGGCAAAAATCAACGCGGAGGAAGCAGAACAGAAAGCAGGATGCATGACATGACAAGAACATCCCTGGTTTAATAACAATCCAAACCCCTTTACCGAGGGAATGGTCCTCTTTAAACATCCATTTCATCTTTGCTGGATCCCCGCACTGAGGCGTGATGGTAGAGTCGAGGAGCGGGATTCTGGATCTGCGGATACTGTCGGAGTAATGTCCAAAAAATCCGGACAAAAGCGACCAAAACAAAACGTCAACAATCTCTCTCTGCCCGTAGCTTCCGACTGTCCGTCTAGCTGAGAGGTGACGTCACTGTCTTACAGAGGTGTGGCGGTGGTGGTGATGATGCTGCATTCGTGTGCTCTCGGAAATAATAAAAGTGCAAAAGGGGAATAATATCCCCAACTCAGCAGAGACAACCAGACCCACAGTCAATTAGCGTGAGCAATTCGCTGTTAGCTGAAATGTTAACAGTTTTCCATTCGGCAGCCTTGGCTCACCAGTTCATGTTGGAGTAGACACTAAACTGATCAAGTGATCAATTTATTTTCAGCAAAAATAGAGGCATTTCTGTTCAATTTAAACACCCATGAAAAGATCAGATGAACATAATGGATGATAATAATGGACTTTGCAAACTGACAATGAGGTTTTGAGTGGCATGTCAGCAGTTTAATAGAAAGCCTCAAAAATTTGGCTCAAAAATTAGGCAATAGAAAGCCTCAAAAATGTGATACTCTCTGCTGTAACTGTCTAGGGTAAAAAATGATCTGACCTACATTAGGCAAACACAGCCACACTACACGCTATTCATTAACTTTGTGCGTACCCAAAGCAATTGTTCCAGCTGTCTATTGACTCCAGTCTAAATCTACCCGAAGCTTTGAACTTTGACATTCTCATTGGAGAACCTAGGCATGCTGCTCTCATGTACATTCCGAATGACAGGCACGCAGAGAGGGCCGGTAAAGAGACTGACAGTAAAAACCTGGATTTTTTGATGCTCCAGTGGCCTACTAATGCGGTGGCCAACCAGGATTTGTCCCAGTACTTCTCAGGACCAGTCGAACTACACAAGACTGTACATGATATATTTGACTCTCCAGCCCTCAAAGCGCTATGGCAGCATGCAGACATAGGTTTGGCTATGCAAGAAGTTTTATTGACAGTAGGTGAGGCAGCTACTCCCCACTGATACTAGTGGTTGCTAAATTATTCTAGGAATGGGTTTTGTTTGGCAACCATCTCCAGTTGCAGTTGCTTGTTGAAGGTGTGCTCATAATTTAGGTGAATGATTTAGATGGTAACAATGCTGAGGGTGAGCCTAATGTAGTGAAGCAACTGACTTCTTCTATTGTTGTAAAATATAGAAAGCGTGGGAACAGCTTTTTAAGAAGGCAACCCTGGAAAGAGGTGTGGTCTCAAATATTTATAGTCTAATGTTTATGGCTGCGCCTAATGAATACTCTAAGCAAATGACTGAGGATTTGAAAATTAAGTTGACTAATGATGGAGGGGAGGCTATAAAAAGGTATCAAAGTTCTTCCATCTCGAAGTTTCCACTGTTCAAAATGTCATTAATTAATTAGTTCCTTATTATTCATATATTTCAATATGATTTTTATTGTAAATGTAATAAAAATAAAAGTAGACCTAATGTTGAGATAGATTATGTAGCTCAAGAAGGTGTCAAGTCTCTACAAGTTGATTATACACAGTAAAACAAACAGAGAACAATGGCTGCCCATACAGGTGGAAATACATTCATAAAATTAAAAAATGAAATTAAAACACAGTATACAAATGTTACCAGTAATGTTAACTGTTTAGTAGTAAAATGGGCTCAAGCATGTATAATTCTAGACTGATGCTGGTACAGAACAGATGAAGGTGAATAAGGTCCAAATTGTGTTTAGGTAGTCACAACATTTTAATGATCTGACCCAGTTCTAAAAGAAAAATAATGTAATGTTGTTGTTTTTTACTGGAGGAATAATCAAATGTGACTGATTTCATAACATTCTGAAGACATAACCCTAAACCATGTTAAAGATATGAAACCTTTTTCTATGATTAACCCCATTTGCACCTTTTCTTACTTGGTTTTCCGTTTTCTGTGGGGACAAGTTAATAACATGGACTAATGTCACACACGATAACATTTGCAACGTCATACAAATACGCAAAACTACAGTAAATAACAAAGAAAAAAACCTCAGCAATGAGTTTAACTTTAAAATGTCCATGAGTGAACACTCTCGGGCCGGAATAACAGGTTCCTCAGACACCTATGGGTGACGTCGCAGACGCTACGTCCATCTTTATTTACAGTCTATGGGGCTAACACAGCTGGAAAAATGGGTAAAACTGAACTTTTTGTGTTTTGTTTTTTACATGTTTGACCAAAGAAGTAAAATGTCCATGAGTGAACACTCTCGGGCCGGAATAATAGGAGTTTCTTCTGGTGCTTCCAATCTCACCGACGTTATTTGAATGCAGCATGAATGCTTCAACTGGCAGCCATGGTAACCGCGAGACGCTTAACTTAGCTGAAACATGGCGCGGTGCATGGTGCTTAGCTAGGAAGCTAATGTGTATAGATGTTGATACGCTACGTTTCCCCCCAAAACACTTACTCAACGGTGATTGATGGATATTACTTAACGAGGGTTAATCTGGATTCACTTGGCATTTTGTTGTCTGATACTATTTATTCACGTTAGTCGTCCGGGCGCATCAATTCAATTAGCATCTATGCTATCTTGAACATTAAGCTAGCCAGCTGACTTGATGATTACACAACACTGACGCATCGAACGTTGCATATATCGTTACCCATGGCTTTCTATGAAGTCTTTTCTCACCCGGCTTTGATTCGGTACAAGACGAGTGTTTGCACGAAAGCCACTCTCTTTCTTGTTGTGGTTTTGTGCCTAACCTACATCGCACCTCTGCTGGTTGCTTACAGGAGCCAAGGTACAGCACTGAACCATTACGACCACTGCTTCTGTTGCTGTTGTTAAACAAGAAACCTGATAGATATCCCGTGTGTGTGTTTATATACAGTATACGCCTATATTTCAACGTTTTGCTGCAACGTTTGCTCGCTGTTTATTGCCATGTTATTTTAGGTTTCTGGATGAAAAGAAGCACCTATGAGGAGCAGCCGGTTGTGAGGTTCCAGTATCAGGCTCTGCTGGTGGCAGCAACCAGTTCTGTGGGAGACTACGTCGCCTGGAGCACATTCCCCCATCTTAACAACATGCTCGGTGCCAATCTCCGCATCCCTGCTATTTCTGTGAGAAGATATTAGCTGCAGTTATTGCTGTTTTAACACTGTCAATTATATAGTGACAGATGTAGTGATAATTTGTCACTTTCATAACTGTTTACTATTCTGTATGTGTTTTCTGTGTGGAATAACTCACACTACAGGTGAGAGAAGAGGATCAAAACCAGGATGGGAAGTTGGACCTCCTGATTTTTCAACTGCAGCTACCCCTAAAACCTGAGGAACAGGTGTACAACGTCCAGCTGCTGCTCACCTTCAGCTACCAGCTCTTTGTATGTATTCCACTGCAGTGCCTATGTCTGCTTATACACCCACAGTATAAGCATCATGTGTCTATGCCACCATTAAGAAAGCTTTACTCAACCTGATGCCAGGAAGTAATGACAGTTAGTCTTAACTAAGACAAAACTCAGATATTGTTGTGGCTAATATTTAAAAATGACAGTCAGTGATTAAGTCATTAAGTCACTGTGTGTTGGGTCTGATAATTACTAAATTACTTTGCCTTGTTGAAGTCTGGCTTCAAATACACACGTATTAGGCCACATTGAGGAAAAAAAAGAAATCAGACAAAGTCATAATATTGCAGGAATAAAATTGTCATTCTGAGAATAAAATCATAATATCACGAGAATTAAAAATTTAGAGAGAGAAAAAACATAATTTTTATGATATTACACCAACCAGTTAAACAGGTGAAAGGACAGTCAGTGTCAGCCTGAGCTGCTTCTGGCAGCTGCTGTTTTTCTGTCTAACAATAGAATAGACTGAATTTCTTCACAATCTTTTCAATGTCCTGATGCTGATGCTGATGCAGATGCTGATGCTGATGATGAGCCCAAAGAAGTTTCTCCTTATTTGTGAAACCTAAAGTAGAACTTCACAGGATGCTCCACGTTCCTCATTGTAAAGCTTCTGATATTTCCTCTCTAAAACAACACGCAACCTAAAATTAGACTTTATTCTCATAATATTTGACTTTTTTCTTGTAAAATTACAACTTTATTCTCGTAATATTTTCACTTTAATCTCGAAATTTCAGATTTGTTTTCACTCATTGTGGCCCTAATACTCCGTCACACAATAATATATATTATGTACCAGTATTCATTGACTGTTAATGTCAGCAAATTTGAAATTAATGTCTTTTCTGACATTGTTGTATAGACTTTGGAACAATATTTATACCATTTTTATGATTCTGGTCAGAATGTTGTATTACAATTCACGTTCATGTATTCTCATAAACAGTTACTGTACTGATTCAGGGACAAAAATGCATTGCACCAAAAGGATATGACACTGGGTCCTAGCCACTGCTATTTAATGTATGAACATGTGTATCAGTTTTTATACATACATACATTACATACTAAGCCACGGTTCCATTCCTGTGTGTATGTTGTCATGGCAGTACAGACTGCCTTCTGCTGTAAGCATATTCTAACTTTGTGTTTTTCCAGCGGATGTCCACAGTGGTGATGCAGAGCCTGGCCTATGTGCAGCACTCCTCTTCTGTCCCTGGAGCTAAACTGTTCATCAGTGGAGACCTGAGGCTGCAGCAGCGGACACCCCTGCCTCACCGGGGACTGTATGACATTTACAATGTGAGAGGACACAGACTCACTGTCTTTCTGTCCACCTCTCTCTCTCTCTCTCTCTTGTTTTCTCCTGTTCCTGTTTGCACCAATATAAATTTAGATAGAGCTGACTTTGCCTCGCAAACAGAAGACCCTGTGTGAAGTTTACATGTTTTCTTTGTGTTCCTCTTTGTTGTTGTGTTTTCTTACACGTCAGGTGGTTCAGATGCACAGTACATTTTTATCTGTACGTTTGGGCTCTGTGATGGACCTGAGGTGTTAGTTAGATATCCTGTCCATGAGAATGGGGCGGACGGATGGAGAACCTGAAAGAAAATGTTTCTCCCGGCTCTGGCTGGCTCTGGCACAGTGGCAAAAAAATTCAGCAGTGTTGATGTTGGCTTCATGTACTCAATTGAATATCAACTAGGCGCAACTCAGCATTCCTCTACCTTTTAACCTCCATTTTTGCCCTAATCATAGTACAAATATTTCACTGCAGTATACTACCACATGTACTCCTCAGCTGAGGGAGATGTGGCACGGACAACAGATAATCGTTAAGGGAATGTATTTTCTAACGTTTATCTGTCTTTTTTATTAATGCCCAGGTGTCAGTGATTGATGGCTCCAGCCCTTTTGCAAGTGCGTATGATCTTGACAACATAATCAGGAGCTACCAGAACAGAAACTGTAAGTTGACAAAGGTTGCTATTTTGTTTGCTGTGTGTCTAGAACCAGAATCAACTCGACCTGAACCACAGCTTATCACTACCTACGGCATTACAACTCTCACTTTTCTCTTTCTGTCTGACCCTTTCTTTTTCCTACCGTAGTGACCACAATACTGTCCTGTCCCATGCCAGTCTGGACTGTGGGACGAGCTTCTGATTCTCCCTTTGAGCTTAATGCTGAGATCCATTACCCTCTGGAGGTCATTAGATATCCTTTGATAAATGCTGTGTGTGTGTGTGTGTGTGTGTGTGTGTGTGTGTGTGTGTGTGTGTGTGTGTGTGTGTGTGTGTGTGTGTTCGTGTGTGTCTGTGTGTGTTTTAAGAACAGACTCAAACCTAATTACTACTATATAAACATTTAGTAAGTGTTTCTTAACACACTATAATTTAATTATATGCACAAATATGGATCATTAGTGCCACGGGTGCTCAGCTCTCCTCTCAGCTATTCTAGCTGTAGAGGAGTGCCTCGGGGCGGAGCCATCTATTAATATACCTTCGGGCTTATTATTATTCTTCCGCCAAATTTTGACGCGTAACTCGTCCCGCAGCTTTGAGAAACCCCCGGTAATATATACATCAAAACGTGCGTCTTGATCCCGAAAGAGGTGCTATGACTTTTGGTGTTAAAATTCCAATTTTTCCCAAAGTTATTCCAAAAATACTGGGAATAAATAATGCATTAGGAATGCATTGGAATTTTCTTTAAAAACCCACAAAATTTCACATTTTTTCTACAAAATTTCACATTTTTTCTGAGTCACCCAGCTCTCTCATACCTGTAGAAATGTGATTCAAACTATAAAACGGAGGGAAACTTCTGCTCTCTCCAAAACACAGCAACTGTTTTTACATAACATGTAAACTTTTCAAACTATGAGCACTCAAAGGAGGAGTGGAAATCACTTTTTCTTCAAAGTTAGAGTGAGCAGGCGTCAGTTGGCTAGAGTGCGTGAAGCAGTAAAAAATAACCTTTATTTTTATTTTTATTTTTAACTCGAGCTCAGCCAAACCGTAAAAAGGAGACAATAATTCTTTCTGAAAATGTAGACATAGTTGTTGGGATTCATAAAATGTAACTTTGACAGGCAGGGTCTGCACAAAATTTAAACGGGGGTGCCGAGTCGGCAGCAATACCTGTCTCACTCTCATTGACACCTAATGTAATCGTCTTTTTCTTTCAAAAGAATCTCACTCTGTCTTCGCACTGAGCTTACTCACTCATTTTAAGGAATATCTGAATAAAATAGAGACTGTAAGAAACTTCTGGCTTCAGTGTCTGTCACGATATTTTCGGTTTTTTGAAAAGAAGTAACGGTTTTCTCATAATTTGCAATTGTTTGAATTGGCTTGTAGAAGCCAAATTCTGGGCAGATTTTCACATTGCCATGGCAACGGCAGCTTCCTGACCTGTGTGCGTGCGTGCGTGCGCCTAGCAACCAGATAACCAACTCTCCAAGCTCCGCTAGCTTTACATTAGCCGCATGTTAGGTCTTAAATTACATTTAGTTAGGTCTTAGATATGTAAGTCCATTTACTGCTCCTTTGTTGCTTTTCTTTTTTGTTTTGTTGAAAGTAGTGAATGAAGTTGTGACGGTCTCCGCTGAGACAGAGGAGAGGAGAAGCTACTAGCCCTCTCTCGCTGTCACTTCTAGTCGCGTTGCTCTCCTCCCCAGTAATGTTAAATTTAGCACCGAAAAAAACATAATAGTGGTAATTTAAATAGCGGTTCATGGGATTTATTAACCCTCAGGGGTCCCTCTGTCCTTTTTGGACATTTTCTTCACTTTTCTTTTTTGATTAGCTGAACATTTTGGCTGTGTTACAGCTGAAGGTATGGATTTCTGCAAGAAAGTGTCTTTTTTGACATATTTTTAAAATCTAATGTCAGTTACTGTTACAGGTCTATTTTACACTGGTAACACATTTTGTACCCTCTGGGGTTCCTCGCGTCCAAAAAAGGACACACAAAGAAATTGCTATAAAATCATCATATATCAATATTTTTTCTGCTTTTTTTGCATACATCTCTTAAACCACTTCAGTTCTGCTCAAACCTACCAAATGTTTATTAGTTTTCAGGATTTTAACCCTTTAAATGCCGGTTTGAAGACATGTTGCCTCTTGTTTTATTAAAAAAAACAACACAGAATATGAGATATTTCCCACATAATACATGATGGAGGGATGTGACATTGTCTTTTATATCAAGACATTTCTCAAAACCAGAATATGATCAGGGTGACTTTTGAACACTGGAAATAAATCATGTACTCATCCCGGCAGTATAGCCCCCGTGGCACTCAAAATTTCCCTGGAATTTTCTAGTTTTAAGTGTTATTTTATGTACAGTATTTGTCAACAATTGTAACTGTGAAGACATATTATTTCACCTGTGTTTTATTATAATGTCATTCATACACCAGCCTCCACTGCTGTTAGCCTACAGGGGGAGTTATAGTTTTTGACAAACACAGTAATAAGGATTTACAACAACATTATAGTGTGTTTTAATCCATTTATTATTTTTTTTTATACTGCTTATATTGTAAATGCTAAAATGCTTTTATTTCACATACATAAGTCATTTAGATTAACCTGATAATGTTTTCCACGGAACTATATAGTTTGTTCTTTTTGCCTTTCTTATGATCCTCAGTCCTGAAACAAATGTGGTTAAATATAGCAGGTGCAAATAGTGAACAGAGTCAAATGTCTTAGAATGTTAATTGTTGCGGTCTGAACAGCATTTTAAGTGTTTTCAAGTATAAGAGGTAAAAGAACAACCCTGTAGTTGAATTGTCAGTGAGTATGTGCGCACTGAATGCAGTAACAAAAAAATGGTGAAAGCCCATAGTTTGTTACGTCTCAAAGACCAAAAATACCTGACAACCCCAGGAGACATCACTGATGATGTGTCCAGGTGTATCACAAGGTGATGTATATTTTTGCAGTTGTGTTTGTGGACACAAGTGGTTAACACTGTAAATCAGTAACAGCACAGGAACTTCATCCCTACTCTACATTCCCAATGAAAACTGCCCTCTGATGTGGTCATCTTTTGTGTAAATTGTAAATAAGAATACAATAGTGCGAATAGAACAGACTAAATATTGAATAAGGGTAATGTAATAGGTTACTTTATATACATTTTTTCTGAAGGTCGTTATGTAGAGTATATTCATTTATACATGTCTATGTACAATATATACGTGTGCTCAGATTTATATTTGACAATGATGATTATGCTGATATGTACCTGTTTTTGTATTCATAAATTATAATAATTATAATTAGCAGAGACAGGCGTACTACACAGAGATTGTTTTCTGGCATCATCTGACTTATTGAACTGTTAACCAGAGTGACAGCATGTGGAAAGAAACTGTTGTAACTGTTGTTGTTTTTGGCGAACAGTGATCTGTGGCGTCTTTCAGAGGACTTGGAGCTGGTTGTGTCCAAGGTCTGAGGGGTCTGCAGTGAGTTCTGAACAGAGGACAGGTCTGCAGTCCTGACTGTCCATTGTAGTCTGTTTTGTCCTATTGGTGGTCAGTACAAACCAGACTCAGTGATTGCAGTGTAGAACTGGATCAGCAGCTCCTGGGGCAGGTTGAACCTCCTGAGCTGGCTCAGAAAGTACAGTATATCCTCTGCTGGGCTTTTTTGATGATGTAGTCGATGCTTGATGTCCAGATCAGGTCCTGAGAGATCATAGATCCCAGACTGACTGTCCCTGACTGTTGTGTCGTGGGTGTCCTGAGGTGCCGTCATTAGTGTAGAGTGAGAAAAGCAGCAGGGAGACCACACATCCCTGGATAGGTGTATGATTTTCCCCCAGCCTCTCCTGCTCCTTCCTCTCTGTCTGGACGTTAGTGATCCACTGACAGGTGGAGGTGAGCACAGAGATTTCTCTGATGATGGAAGCTGAAGTCCACAAACTGGATCCCTGTGTTCGTCCCTGGGGAGTCAAGGTGTTGCAGGATGTATAAGTAAAAAAGACTAAAACTAAATAAAAGTATCTGCATGTCTAGATATCACTAGAGGGAATTGAGAAAATGTTGGATTTAGGTGAACTGACCCTTTAAGTCACACAAGTTATTCATACATTCTGTGTTGTTCCTCATTATCCTCAGTGTCTTTCAGTTTGTCTTTAAGACAAGCTGGATGGTTGGAAAAAGCAAAGGTTTGATCTGAACTGTGAAGTTTTTTCATCGTTTCTGCCTTAACTGTTTCCTCCACCTATCGTCCAGGCTTTTGGGAAACCATCAAATTTGCCTGGATCCAGTACGTCAGCGTCCTCCTCATCTTCCTCTGGGTCTTTGAACGTATCCAGAGATTTGTTTTCCAGAACCAGGTTCTAACCACTGTGCCCATCCCAGTGGGAAAACCTCACCTGTCATGATTCAGTGGTAGTGCTCACACTTTCAGGTATTCACGATCCACCAGGTTGAGACAATATTACATGTTGCACATTCACTTGCCCACACTGATACTGAAATTTAAGACCAACTCTATGACTCAGTTTCAGGGACTAGCTATTTGGTCTTGCTGATACTGTAACACACTTACCAGCAGTATACACACAGTATAATCTCACACATTTGAACTAAGGCCCTGTTTTTGTGGTGGCACAACGACCAGAATACGCAGCATGAGTTGTTGGTATTTTAGTGGAAAATGTGCTTTAGACTTTGCACTGAGAATAGAAGTGCATCTGTTCTTGTCTCATAGTTAATCTGCTGCCACTTTGGTGATCTCATTAAAAAAAAAAAAAAACTAAATTAAAGGCACATGTGCAACCATGATGGAATAATTCTTAAAATGTAAACTCCCCAATTGTTAAGTTTAAAATTGGCATGAGAAGCTGAACATTTATTGTGTTTAAAGCAGACATGTCGGTAATAGTATTAGTATGATGATTCTTACTGCATCTGAAGGAAATAAGACTGTTAAATAAGAATGTTGATAAATCCGTAAATGGCCGACACAGCAACTCCATTACAATACTACACACTTCAGAGTGCTCCATTATGACTTGGTGTTCTGCTGTTTAAGATATTATGAGTTTGCTTTGCAAGGCTCATCAGTCCTGTGTGCCATTGCCAACTTTCCAGCTTTGTTTAAGTTTTCTTCTTGAAATGCATTACAGTGCAGATGCTGTTGTGTCTGATTTTACGTTATGATATGACCATTGACAGCATGAGATAGCAGCAGAAGAAATAAAACTGAAATAGCGTCAGATTGATGGAGTTATATAAACAGCCTCAGCAACATTTTTATTATTTATCTCTATCATCATTGTACAAGTTAAAACCTCCCACCATCTGAAGCTGTCTCAGCTTCTTTCCATATGTTGAGCTGTTGTCATGTGTCACTGTGACTGGCATACTGTTTCCGAGTGACAGGACCAGTGATGTGACTGTGTAAGAGTGACGTCATTAACGTCAGCACACCTCAGATTTAGATTAAAACCAGCTGCTTTGAGCTTGTTAACACAGTTAAAATAGAGTCTTACTTAACTGTTCATAGTAGTTATGACAGATTTGTGCTAATTCTGCCCATCAACTGTATTGACTGTATGGTGTTTCACTGTGAAAACCAAGCTGACTTTACGAAGATTTGTCTTTCTAGTTCATCCTTATCATTTAACAATAAGTTGAACAATGAACCTCCCATGAGCCTCCTGTAGTCCTTTAATAATTTACTTGTATTTTATACAAACATGCTGAGAGACACAAATTCATTTATATTTTCACCTTTTCCAGGACAGGTTTGTACAAAGGCCCTGCTCTACTGGAGCTACAGCGGTTCATACCATGAAAAAATGTATTTCTTCTTTTCCTGCTGTTCGAAGAAATAGACACTTATAAAAAATATAAATATTTTTTTATATTTTTACTAGTTGTATGTTTATGGCCATTTGTGACACTAGTTAAAGAAATGTCTTTGTTGGTGTGCTCATTTGTTTTTGTATTGTTCATAGTTTTAGATGATGGATAATAAATGATTTGTACATTTTAATATTTTGCATCTTCTGTAAACCACAAGACTTTTATCTATTTGCATCTTTTACTTTCATCTTTTAATTTTTTATGGCCTAAAAGATTCATTTGTAATTAACAACACTGAAACGTGTTTGACTACTCTCATTTAATAATGTAAATAATGATGCAAAGAAAGACATCTGAGAACTACATCTGTTTGTAGCACAGCATCAACTTGTTGCCACTTTGGTGATTTTTATCAAGAAGAGCAAATTAAACACAAGGAGCAAGTGTGAAGCAATGATGGGATAATTCTTAAAATGTAAATAAACTATTTTAAAGTTTATACATGCACAATTATAAACATTAATACAGCAGCAAACAACTATTTTCTATGTAAAGATATCGTGCAGTTATGGCATCCTGAGCAGAGAACGATGTCACACCCCCGCTGAGTGTTTGAGCTCCTCTGTTCTTTGTTTTGGTAGATGCGACAGCCGTGTGTGCATGTTAGGGCATGTGTGTTACTGTGAATAATAATAGTATCATCACACACTGTTGCAGAGGCTGTGAGTGTCTGTTGTTAGAATGTCAGAGCAGTTCATTCTTTTCTAACACCTTACTGTGGCAGTTTCTAAATGATTCCACATTAATGCCCAGGGGCAAATTATGCCCCCCCCACACACACACACACACACACACGCACACACACACACACACACCCACCCACCCACCCACTCCTTTCTTATCATCCAGCCTTTTATTATTGACCACAGAATTTTGGTTTTGGCTGCAGAGAGCTGGAGGACAGGATATGAGTCTGGCCCATACAGGAACCAGGTGCATCCTTTTTCATGCCTCTGCACTCAGGACAGTCAGAGCCGTCCATATGTACCTACGTACCAGGTCCGTCCGTCCGTCCCATTCTCGTGGATGTAATATCTCAGTAACGCATTGACGGAACTTCTTCAACTTTGGCACAAACATCCACTAGGACTCAAGAATGAACTGATTAAATTTCGGTGGTCAAAGGTCAAAGTTCAAGGTTACGATGTTCTCACGTTCTTGTGAATACAATATATCAGGAATGGCCAGAGAGAATTTCATTAGTTCTGTTGCACTGTGACAAAACAAAACAAGTTTTTGGCCATAACTCACAAATTCATTCACTAATTCTGACACGCTTAAACTCAAATATCTATAAGGATAAAATGATTTTATATCCAAAAGGTCAAAGGTCAACTTCACTGTGACATCATAATGTTCAGTAAAGCAGTTCTGGCCATTATTCAACACTGTATCTCAGGAAGGAGAGACTGTGACCATATTTCCTGTAACTTGGTTGGTTGGTTGGTGGAGGAAACAACCAGGAGGTGGAGATTCTAGTTTCAGAGTCATATTATTTTTCATCTTCTATCTTCATACCTTCATATCTTCCAGCTGATTCACCAAGGCCCAGCGGAGCTAATCTCATGTCCATTTTACTTCATTCTTACAACTGCACATATGGCAATATCATGTCTTAAACATGCAGTTGTTAGACATTACCATGGTGATTTACCCTGGTAACAAGTGAACCACATGAACAGACAAGGAGTGAGGGGAACACAGAGACTAGATACGCACAACAATGAGGTAACAAGACACAGGTGTGACATATTATAGATAAGCAGGTGATCACAGAGGTGGGAATTCACACTGGAGCAGGAAGTAAAAACAATAGACAGCTAAAGAAAGTAATTTCAATATAAAACAGGAAATGGAGAGTCAAGGAAGTCAAAGGGGGGCATGGACATGTCTGCTGGACATGATGTAACTTTTTTCTAATAATTTCAGTTGAAATATACCACTTAACATATGTGTGGAGATGTGCAGTCAAAGGCCTCTGTCTGTGATCCAGACTCAGTGATCAGCCTGTCAGCCAGTTTTGAGTGAACCTCGTCCATCTAACCAATCCGAGTAAGCCATAGTCAGGGGGTGGGACCTCATGGCTGTCAATAAGACGTCGCTATGGCTGACTTACAGGCGAGTGAGCTCCCGCTTCCTGCATTATTTGAGACAATGAACAGGACGAGGATGCAAGTGAAGGGCTGGGTAACAGAGCGGGGAGGGGGAGGGGTGGGAGGAACAGAGTGGACTGTTAGCTTGATTTACAGTACTTGCATATTATGGCCATGGCCACATTAAACGTCTCAGACATAAGCTCCAGCTTGCCTGACCTGGGCTGTATTGTTGTAAATCTGGTACACTCACATTTACACGGCAGCTTGTGGCAACCCTCCATCTTATGATTGTCTTTATATTTTTTTGCTCAAAAGTTGCTGCAAAACAAATAATACCTGAAATTGTTTGTGAAAGGACTCTAGATTCAGTGAATCTATTATTAAAACAGCCATATCATTTAGTGGCACTTTGTTCTCTGATGTATATAACTTTTTGTAATATTCCCTAAATCTGCTAATATATCAGAAAAGTCTATGTCACTGTCCTTTGTGTCAAAGCATTATTAGAATCTGCCTTTACTTACTCATGTGAATAAGAAATCGCCTTGTTTCTTATAAACCTTTAATGGAAACCCAAAAAACCCGCCTGCATCCTCCTTTTATGATGTTACTGTGTTACTATGTATATTATTATTTATAGAAAACTCTGGTTGAATAAACTTTATGAGCAGCAAGTTTGTTTCTGAACCTCTGCATTCATGATGCAGAAGTCTCTCTCTTGTTAAAGGACAGATGTAGAAACTGCCTGAAAGTGTGTGTGTGTGTGTGTGTGTGTGTGTGTGTGTGTGTGTGTGTGTGTGTGTGTGTGTGTGTGTGTGTGTGTGTGTGTATGGGGGTGGGTTGACCTTGAACTTTTCTGTCAATGACATTGTTCTGTTCTCAGTCCTTTTTTAATCATAATAATAATAATATAATAATATATCACTGATTAAGTTCTCACTACACCCCCACACAACACACTTTCAGCAGACCACAACTGACCACAGGAATTGACTTATGAGACACAGAGAAGCTCTTTCTGTGCTTGACTGATATAAAGGATTGAGGTTATGAAGTCTTTTACGTGCAGTGACTGAGCAGGTCAGACATGAGCACCATGCTGTTCACATGTATGAGGCAACAGTCAAGGTTTTCATTTCCGCTCTCCTCCTCCCTGACTCACTGTCTCAGGAGATGTTTGTTAGCATACGAGTCTGTCCACTGTTAGTTTGTTGTGTGTGTGTGTGTGTGTGTTTGTGTGGACCAGTGCCACTGTATTAGCTCATTTAAACCACTCAGTCTGCCAGTTTAGGTTTTACCAGACAGTTTAGTAAGAGTTACACCCTGTATGCTCAACTACAGTATCAAAACCTCTAATCTGCCCAGCTGCAGTAACAGGCCCTTGTCTCTACCCTCTGATACGATTAGTGCTCTTACAACAGTCGTGATAAACCATTGAAAATATATAACTAAACGTTTTATGATGTTAAAAAAACTACACTGAAGGTGGTGGCTTCTCTCTCTTAAATTAAATCGAAGGCAACTGGACTTGTATTTGTCCTGATATATGCGGTCAAATGCAGTGAGGATTGCAATGACCTATATATTGGGGAAACTAAACAACCTTTAAACAAACGTATGGCCCAACACAGGAGGGCAAACTCTTCAGGCCCTGTCTCAGCTGTCTACTCCCACCTAAAGGAAAAGGCACACTCCTTTGAAGACAGCAATGTCAAAATCTTGGACAGGGAGGACAGATGGTTTGAAAGGGGAGTCAAGGAAGCCATCTATGTAAAAGTGGAGAGGCCATCGCTAAACAGGGGAGGTGGTCTGCGACACCATCTATCCCCCATCTACAATGTCGCCCTTTCATCGGTACCCAGGAGGGTCAACAACATAACCTCAGACGACTCTCAACGATCGTCATCCACCAGGGGCTCACCTGACCCTAACGACTGTCGTTCACAGGGGACAACAACAGGGTCACCTGACCCCTAACGACGGTCGTCCACATGAGACCACAACAATGGTCAGGCGAAACCAGTACTTTCACAGGTACTTTGGTGGACCCACCCACAAGAGGTTAAATACCTGGGTCCTTCTCCATTTTCTTGGTCAGACTAGTGCGGACTAGAGAGACCAATACATGATGAACTGATGAAGCCGCTTGGATAAGAGGCGAAACGTCTTCCACAGACAAATACAAGTCCAGTTGCCTTCGATTTAATTTAAGAGAGAGATTACTATGACCTGGACGAATGAGAACATTCACAGACAAGGTGGTGGCTTGGCTCACTGAACATCTGATGTGGAGTTCACGTTCAAAAACAGGATCCAGAGACTGTTCCAACTATTATTACTACTATTATATGTCACAATTCAAAGTGCTCAGGTCGATGGGTGATGGACAAAAGGATGGATGTTTTTTTCTGTACATGAGATATTAAAATACATAAAGAAAAAATAAGTACAATTACATATCAAATTTAAATATCTGCACTAACAATAATAATCTGAAGAAAATCAAGCTGATATCCATTTACTTCATTTATGCTTCCACCATCTCTTTCTTCACTCTCAGGGTATCAAACATAGGAATCTAATGCAACATAATACAAGTAAACATTCAAAGTCATGCAACAATAAAATGATGACCACATAATTGCTATAATATTAGCCAAATAGAATAACATCAGGTTTGAAAAGTCCATTCTTCAACTCACAGTGGTCCTCTCTGTTCTCAGTAGTTTGAAGAGAAAGGGCTTTGCAGAGAAGGGTGGGGTTATATAACTTCCTGGATGACAGGTGATTTCAGGTGAGGCAGGGTATCAGACTTGTGATTGAACAGATGTGTGCTATGATACAGGTCTAGTTAGGTTCAGGGAATGATCATGGTTTGTGTTAAAATAGGTACTTTAAGATTAGAGGACGTTCGTCATCATACCTACAATTATAAAAATGTTTTTATACTGATTGCATAATATTTAACAAAGAGAGACATCCTGCTGTTATCTTTATTGCTTCTGATGTTTGTGCTGTTCACTCTCATATTCTG